TTTATAAACTGGCCATATAAAGTCAGCATGCAGGAGATTGTTTTTCTTCTTGTGTTCAACGTTGCTTTTAGAAGGGTTTTTTTGAAAATGTTTTTTTGGGTTTTGGTAGGATTAGAAATCATAAGGTGGTGGGAATAGGCGGAAAATGCTGCACCCTAGGCAAAACCGAGCATGCATGCCTCCGTACACTTGTTCAAACACTAGTGTCAGCAGCCTCCCAGGTAACAAAAGTCCTCAACCTGTCTAAAAAGGGTGACTCAAGACTCTGTTACTGTAGGGCCATAGTAACCTACCACTGAAAAATACTTTTTGGACTAATTCATGGCCCAAAATCTATGTAATACGATGTGTTGTAAAATAAGCACGAATGACATTAGAACATACGAAAAAGGAAGGCAATTGCTCTGCAGACTAACCAACACTTTCTCTGCAAAGTGGATCCAGCTCATTTACAGGTTACACATCCTGACCCAGATATGTTCATTTGTAAACTGTTCCCCAACCTGAAAACCTTCTTCCCAATTTTTGTCAAGTAAAATAGCAGCCCAAGAACCAGGCATGCCTGCTTCTACTTAAGGTTTGAAAAAACAGCAGCAGAAGCATGTTACTAATGGAAAACTGACAGATGCTTATCATTATGTGGATTTTCTTCTGTGTTTGCATATCATAAACTGAATTGCATCTACGAGCATTTGAAAAGTATTTAAGACCACTTATGGCTTCAGCCAGCCACTTTCTCCAGCTGGGTGAAGCTCGCATGAACTGCAACAACTGCAACATGTACCAGACCAGAATCCTCCATGTAACTGGTTTTGTGCCTTAAATCACATTTTTATCTGTTTCAAATGGTGGGTAAATTGTCACCAACTAATTTTTGCTTTAATGAAAAATAAGGGGGGGTTGTGTGTTCTTGTCTAGGATTGTTCATAGTGGCCTTGATCCAAAGATCCTTGAAGTTGGTGGATGTTAATGGATTTGGGAGTGCAGGCTTGAAAAAAATAGTAGTTACTATGTCTCCTGACAGTGATTTCTCTTTTGCCAGTAGTAATAAACTTAATTCTGATCCCAGTATGAACTGACAAAAACGTATCCGGAAGCTGATGAGAATAAGCAGGGGTTGTCTCATGAAGCAGGCAATGTCATGAAATCAAACATGTGAATGATTTGTGGTTATGCTACTCACGGCATTCTGTTTCACAAAATACTTTTTTCTTTACAAAAATAAAGTAATTTTTACACAAAGCTACATAAAAACACTGCTGGTGTTGCAGCACGGGGGGGGGGGGGGTTATTGGTAAAAAATTCCAATTTGTTGAAGCTGGTGTTGCTTACAGGAAAAGGCTGTTCCTGGCAGATAATAAGCCTGATTATCTCCCAAGAGTGTTTTGGGTTGGTTTTTTTTTTTCTTTAAAATTTCAGATCAAGTCTTCTTGAGCTTCAGAGCAACTTTTCTTGTCTGTTGGTGTGCTAACTGTTTTGCTGTGTCTTACCATTTAGGAGGAGATGCTTGGACAGCTTTCATTTGGACACCACTTCCATATTGGCAGTGACGTGTGTGTCACGGTTTGGGGTGACCCTGTTGTAAATGTTTTGGCCTGGGATGGGTAGCAAGTTGTAGCTACTTAAAGGAAGCTGATTTTTCTTAAATCTAATACTATTCAGTTGATCGTGCTCTAAAACATCCTCATTCTGTATTTGATTTTATATGGCAAGCAGAAGGGGAGTTCAATGTGAATTTTTTCAGAAGAGGTTTTCATTCTCAACTCATTTCCTTTGCCTGCAACTTCTGCTCTTCCTTCCCCACTCTTTCCCTGGCTGGGGTAACAAATAAACGTAAACTTTTACTATATGCCGTTTAGTTGGTACCAGCAGCCTGTTGGATGTTAGGGTGTACCTTTGTACACTTACAGCCAACTCTTCATAACAGAAGCAAATGAAAGCCTTTTATGGTAAATGCCTTCTGTTAAAAGAACTATTTGTGAAAACAGACTTATCTGAAAGAAGTGCACCTTTCACCGAATAGTCAGATGGCTACCTCCAGGTTTTCATTTTTCCCAAGCACAGAAACTTGGGAAGGCAAGCTCCCTTCCAGTAATTCTGGTCAGACAGACCTTTTGTCATCTCTTCTGTTTCTTATACTAATTGCAAAAGAAGCCAAAATTGGTGTGCTTCGAAGCCTGTATTAATTTATTTTGTATTTCCTATGCTGTGTTCTCCAAAGTCAGCAAAGCTTTTCTGAAAAGTGCTGGTCAGAATTTGGAGATAAGTAACATTATCTGAAGCCCTCAAGAAAAAGGAATATTCCTCCTACGTGCTTAGGCAGAATGAAAATCATTAAGCCTAAAACCAAGTTCTGTACAGACCCCAGACTGAATACAAAGAAAGAGTGAATAATCTTTGGTTTTCTTTGCAAGCCACATCCAGCCCTTGCACCCTGTTTCGCAGCAAAAAATATTTGCTTCCTATCTCCCTCCCTGCCCTGCTCTACCCCCAAATACCTCATCTTCTTTGTAGCCAGAAAGACAGGGCATGTTTGCATCATCTTCTAAAATCAAGCAAAAAGCATCTCCTGGAAAAGTTTCAAGCTTTCTACCTGCCACCCCCAAAGTTCAAAAGATCTTGCAAGGTTAGAGATGTGGTAAATCATATCTCTGCCTCAGATTTAACTAGACACCCCTTTATTTAAACCCTCTTACTAGTTTTTGTTGTTTCATGGAGGGCTTAGACTAGGCTCCTTTGGCATGTATTAAGGCAGCTGCCTGCAATCCAGTACTGTAAGAGTGGAATCTTACTGTTGGTTGAAACTAACACTGCAGCCAAATAAGCAGACTTACCATTCCCCAAATCCTACCTCTGCCTGTCCATCCTTTCCTCCCTTTTTCCCTCGTGCCAGCACAGGCTTTTTTTTTTTTTTTTTTTTTTTTTTTCCCCCTCCAGTTACTTTGCAAACTGGGCTGGAGAATTCACCCAGTTCATTTTAATCCCGGTTGCTTCCCCAGCCCAGTTTGCTGCACAGGCATTTGTGCTGGGGTGAGGGAGGGAATGCTGCTGGGGCCGCGTCCAGAAGCTCCGCACCAGTGCCGGGGGGGGGCTCGGCCCCTTTTGGCAGCAGTGCTGGCCCCTGTCTTTCAAGTATTCATGGGACCAGCAGCATGGAGTACAGAGTTTCCCTTATTTGTCGCTTCTCTGGGGAAATTATTAAATCAGTCTCTTGGTGTAGAAGAAAATAATGAGCTAATCCGGAGTCGAGGTGCTATTGGATTGTTTTGGACCTGGCTCGTCTCTTAAGCTCCTAACTTTTCTGCATGCAGATGTTATCCAATTAGTTCGGAGGCAGAAGCAGAGCTTCTTGACTTGATTTTTTCTTTCCAGGCCAAATGCCTGGAAGCTAGGGAGGGAAATGGATGGCACTGAATAATAACCACCTTCCCTGAACCTGAGCAAAGCAGTTAATACCCATCTTTTTTTCAGTGTTTTCACAAATTCTGCCAAGCTGTACAAAAGGTGTTGGGGCAGGAGGAGGTGTTGGGTTTTATTTTTTTCTTTATTCCTTGATATGCCCAGGTTTTTTTCTCAACCACTGAACAAAGAAAGCAAGCAGGGGAGAAAATGCTTTGGTTTGTAGGTTTGTGATTAAAAACGTCTATTCCTAGAATCTTTCACAACAGCCCCTTCTGATTTGTAATGAGTTATTTCTTTTCTTCTCTCTCCACTTTGAACTCTCCACCCAAAATTAAGTCTCAGCCTTATGAGATCAGAGGTCTGCTTCCTAATCAGGATTTAGAGCAGTGTAATCCAGTTGCCATGTTTTAAGGAGGATTTATTTGGTGGTTCTTCAATAGAAATTTTATTTTCCTAGCTACTTTTCATGTAACCATGACCAGTAAAAGTAATTTGACCTAAGAAGCCATTCACCCTTCCTTTCCTGTGGATGCCTACAGCATCCTTCAGGAGAGGTGCTGGTCCAAAGATCTGCTGCTTCTGCAGCTGAGGCAGGTTGCCGTGATCAATAATGCAGGGCTCCAAGTCATCTGTGTATAGCGGTAAAGTTACTCATCCAGCAGTAATTTCACAGATGCCTCTCTCAGGGAAAATTCAGCCATGTACTTGGGGGATAATGGGAGTTTAAAGCAGTTCAAATTCAGTCTGGCTTTGCTGGTGTGGGCACCTGGGCGCTGAAACATGTGTCCTTCTCCATTTGCTGTACAGTTACCGCTCCCAAACCCGAACACCAGCAGAATCATAGCTCCTCCATCTTCTAGAAGTTTACAAACTAAACGTTTTAACATCATTGTTAGTCTGTGCTCTGTGAGTTGTTCTTTCAAAAATTTTGCCTCAAGGAAAAATAAGGAGTAGTTGTCATTTGAAATTTACTCAGGGTTGGCAAAATGATGGCATTTGTCACTTCTGCTCTCCATCTTCTTCAAACTGGCCTAGTGTGTGTCAAACTGGATATTGCGTTGACTTACTTCTTCTCCCTCTTTGTTCTTCTAGAGAACGCCGAGTAATTAATATAGTCTAAAAAGGTAGTGTGGCAGAAACCCTTTTTTTTCCTTTGTGTAGCTTTCAAACAAGGAGGCTGTCGAGACCCATACGTGCATTGTATTTCAAAAGCAGTTTGTTAAAGCAAAATCACTAAGAGATACTGGGTTGACCAATTTTTTTAGGGCTGGATCTAAAATAATTGGCACACTTGCTGTATGCTGCTGCGTGTTTCATGTTGTCGACCTTGTCTCCCTGAAGTCTGAATAGCTGTCGTGTCAGTGACAGTGATGTGTCTGAGCAGTCTGAGGGAGTCCTGCAATTATTTTCATATTTTGCATAATACCGGTGGAATTTAATAATTAGTTGTGAAAGTTCATATCCAATTACCTTCTTTCCTAAAACAGGAAAAATGGTGGAAGTTTGGTGATAAATGCTAGCAGAGTGAGAAAGAAGTGTAACATAATTTGTGGTGTTCCAGTCACTAATTTTTTCTTTTCCTTTCTCTCATTTTACAGGGCATGTTTTCAAGCCGTGTTTGAGGAAATGTGGTGAATGTAAACTTGCTCTGTTTGGGGGGGAAATTCTGGTAAGTGGTGCTGTCTTGATCAATTTTGGTTTCCAATGAGAATTTCAGAAAGATTGTTTTAGCTTTTTTCAGTTTTAATTTTTTTACCTGATGGGAAATACAGAGACATAGTGGATTATATGTGTTTTCCTTCCTCCAGTATGGAGACTCGCAGTATGAGAGGCATTGACAAAAAACAGCATGCTAGGCCTCAGGGCAAGGAACATAGTTTCATTTGCTCCAGTGGCATCTGCTTATTGTGTCTGTAGCTGTTATATTCTGCTGAAGAGTAGTTGAGCTAAAACCTAAAGTAGAAGAAACACAAAGGCCTAATTTAAAAACAAGGGGAACAAAAAAGCATGCTAGTGGTATAAAAAATCAGGAGCAAAAATAGTGCAGAGGGAGCATGTGCTTCCTGAAGTGGTGGGGGTGTCCGGTCACTCTGAAATCTTTCCATCCATTCCCAGAACGTCTGACTGGCACAATTGCCTCTAGCCACCACATGGAGCTAGGATGGCTTGCTTATGCCTGGGAGATAAGGAGATAGTTAGCGCTCCTGTGAGCTGTACCAGTTTTCCTACGCCTCTTTTCCATCCCACATGACAAGCTTTGCTGCTTCTCCGGTTGTTGTGTGCGCAACACTTCCAGAGGCACCAGCTTCCTACAGACTTCTGGTCCTACGGTGCTGTGGGAATACGGCACGTCGTGTGTGATGTGTCTGTGCTGCTGAGCTGTGCTGCTGTGAGGGGAAGGAGGCAGAGAAGAATGGGAGGTAATTAGTGACATGCCCCAACTAGTGGGAAGTAATCCAGAGAAAACTCTTCCAACCTGAAAAAAAAGCAGCAGATCTGAAGCAGTTTTTAGGCTCATCTTGCTTTTCCCTCTAGGAGACTGTCAATATATACAATTCTGGCTGGTGCCAATCAATCAGCATTGCCCCGAGGAAAAATTGCCAGGAGAAGATTGTGTCCCTTCTTTCCCTTGGCCAAGCAGGGTATTGGACTGGTATTTTTTCTTCAGCCAGCATGTGCAGATTGCAGTTGAAAACTGGCTTACTCTCCACTGGCAGAAGACTTCAGAGTCGGATAGCCTGCAGGGTAGAAAACTGAAAATCAAAGACTGGCTCTGTGAGAACACTTGTTCTTTTCTGCCATTTAAAAAAAAACAGATGTTGTTACATCATACAGAAAGATCTGGATTAGCTAGCATATGTTTAAATGTAGATGTTTAGCCTTCTGCAGAAGTATAGTCTTAAAGATAAGAAAAGAAAAGATAAGATAACCAAGATCAGAATTTTACAAAGAAGTTGGCCAAATGCACGAAAAGTCCTGCACAGTGGTACCTGGGTAAACCCCACTGTGGCTCATTCTTTTAAGCAATTTTCTCTCTACAGTTTGGCTTTTCTGGCAATTGGGCATGTTGTAAGCTTGCATCTATATCCATATACTGGGAAATACTAACAACAATTATTTAACTAGAATTTAGTTGTAAGGCCAAAGATGAGCCACAGACCAGCAGCATAAGCTCATTAGTCCACAAGATTTTGTGCTGACTTCTGTTACTGCAAAAGAGGATAGGATCTATATCTAGTTTTCTTTTTGGTGATAGTAATGATACTTTGATCCTAAAAGTTGTCTGGTGTCCTTACAGATTGGCTGATCTTTGTGTGGGGTGTGACAAAGCTATGGTGCTCACAGGTCAAGGAGTAGAGTCATAATTCAGAAATAGTGATGCCATGTAACACCAAGAAAAAAACAGTTTGTCAGCAGACCTGGTAGTCAGATTGTTGTGTTTTAATTTCCCTTCAAAGATGCATCAGCTGACACCAGCCTAGTCTCCATGGGTAGCCTTAATAAAAGGGCATAGTTCAAGAGCAGCAAGAGGAAAGAGACAGAAGAAGTCTGTTTCTTAGAATCATAGAATAATTTTGGCTGGAAAAAACTGCCAGTTGTCATCTTGTCCAAACCCCCACTTGAAATAGGTCCTATTAGGTCAGGTTGCTCAGGGCCTTGATTTTCAAAATTCAATGGGATGCCAAAGCTGGAAACTCTACAGCCTCTCTGGGCACCTGTTCCCATGTCTGACCATCCTCAGAATGAAAAAGTGCTTCCTTGTTGCTTCTTGTTGTTGCTCACTGATGATCAGTGCGGACTTTACATCTTCTCTGCCTGTGAGAGAGGAGTCTTGGAGAAGACCCCAAAATTGGGGAAGCTGCTTCTTGTGGCTCCAGGGAAATGTGGGGTCACACAGATGCAGTAAATTTGCTAGTGGGGTGAAAAAAAACCATAATCTGGTTCACAGAAGTTCTACTCGGGCGATGTTTCTCAACCTATAGTTCATGCTCAGACTAGGAGAGCATGGCTGCTTGACTTGGTTGAATCTCAAAACTTGGGAGAAGGTTAGCTGACAAACTGATGCTCCTGAAAACTACCTGTTCTCCTGACTTGCTTAGAGATATAAGCCAATGAAAAGAGACAGTTCTCACTGCTGGATTGTAAGAATCCTGGAATTTCTTCAAGCCAGTCTGGAGCTGGGTTTGTACCACTCCATGCTCCAGGATTTTGCCCTAGAATTTAATATTGTATTTCTGGAGCCATTATAATATGTAAACAGGCTCTGCAAATTTTGCTTGTTTTCACAGCTGTTCCTTCCCCTCTTCCCACTTCAAACTGTTTGCAAAATCTTATTTTGAGGTAGAATAATCAGGAACCTTGAGTTTCTCATCTGTAAGGATCTCTGACATATCTCTGACCCCACTGTAGGTGTGTTTATGGCATTCCAAAGTCCCAGAGAGTTTAAAAATAATTACAAAAAATATCAGACAAGGAAACAGTTTTGCCCAGTCTCTGTCCCTAACCCACTGAATCCAAGAAGGACTGGACATCAAGAGAACGTTTTGAATTTATCTGGATGTAGCAGCTGAGCTCAGAGGCTCAGCGGTTATTTATTCATCTTGTATCAAAGTCCTAGAAAAGGTCATGCAGCCTCCAGATCAAAAATTTATAGTAGTTTTAGGAGCTGATTAGAGAAATATACTTGAATGCTGAGAGAGAAATCTTGGCTGAATTTAAATCTCCCTCAGCTAAGCTGATGATATCTTTCTGAGCAGTGTAAGAAGAGACCTCTTTTGATGAGATTTCTGTAAAGCAGCCCTGTGGATGTCAGAGCAGATATTTGCGTGGCACTGTGGGTTTGACCTGTCTTGCGTTGAATGCAGCATTTAGCAGGCCGTCAAGGAAGGGCTATCCCTCCACATAAAACACTTGCACAACTGCCAGGAGTTCCAAGAAGCATGGCTGATGTAGGACAAAAAACCTTGGGGTGATCTGTGTTTTATTTTTGTCCTTACTCAGATTGCTCTTTGCCAGTCCAAACTCCCCTTGAAACTCTTGCCTTTCATAAGAGTTTTTTGTATTTCGAAGCTGTACAGTATGGAGTTCTGTCCCTGTCCTTCTAGACCCAGTAGTTGGTTACAGCCATCAAGATCAGAGGAGGGTCAAGCTGTGAAGCGGATAGAGGGGCTGCTGTATCGTAAACCTGATCTGCATCTTCCTGTGCCAGGTGTGCCACTGTGTGCTTGTCCTCTTCCTATAGATATCCTCTTTCCAGGAAAGCTGTGAATACTTCAAACACAGGCCTTGAAGCTGAATGTATACCTCAGGGTCTGGAAGTCCACTGCTCTTTTCACTCTGAATTTAGGCAGGGATACCTCCCCAAGTTCAGGGCTTTTTGATGTTTCAGCTGAAATCTTGAGACGCTGTGCTTCTCTCTGCATACTTCTCTGTAGATTAGAAGCAACTGCACATCTTAAACAATGGTTTCAGCTATTTCTAGTTGCCCAGATATGTCGTGGAAATTTTGGATTTCAGCTGCTTAGACACTCATCTGGTATTTTGTTTTGTTTTTTTCCCATTAAGGACGGTCAGATTTTTTTCCTGGTTTAAACAAAAAATTAGCAGGTAGTGACTGCTTTGATTTTAAAAAATTATATAAAAACAAATTTTCAGTGTCTTTATACATATTAAATTTGTTTGCCTTTAGAAAGATTGTGATGCCCTCAGCATTCCTGGGTGTCCAATTTGTATGATACAATTATTTACGTCCTTGATGTCTACCAGAAATGCTATTGAATTTCTCTTGGTGATTCTTCACACTTGTCAGGTTTCTGACATAAAGTATTATAGAGCAACTATGTATTATCTGCAAAGAGCTTGGAATATGTGCTCTCACTGCAAAAATAACCTGCTGTAACTTTCGCTTTATTACCTGTATTCTGCCATGCCCACAAGAGGCTTTGCCAGAATCATTAGCTGTTCTCTGTAATTAGGGCTGACCTGGTGCATTTTGGTCCTATTTCTAATAGCTTTTAGTTTTCCAGAGTCATTAATTTGGTCACTGATGCACCTCATAATGTGCTTCTGTTGCGTATCTTCATTATCTCTTCCTACGGGGTGAAGATTATCATCCATCCTTAGGAAGGAAAGTATGTGGAAATGTTTGAGCATTTTAAAATATCTTGGGGTTTACCAAGATTTGCTATGCTATGCTTATAATTCCTTCAATTTAGTCTGTTTCTTTTCTTCCAGTCTAGTCTGTGTGAAAGATGTGCATGTTGGTGCCACTGGGTGTGGTAAATGTGAAATCTGGTCCATAAGATTTCTAAGGAATGCGGCATGTCCCCTGCCCAGAACCACATGTCTCCAGTCCTGACCAGATTGGATTTACTCTTCTTTCTTAAGAGATGTGAAGCATTGTTATACTTGTGTTCAGTTTATTAAATCAGATAACCCTACACAGGGAGGTTACGTTCCAGTCTCCTGCAGAAGAGATCTTTGTGTCTCAGTCTCTGTTGTTTTCCCAAGTGTTTTCCTACATCTCCCTGGTAATCCATTTAGTATAGCTTTTATTTTTTTTCTTTTTTTTTTCCCTGAGGTAGAGGTGATCCAGTTGTCGGAATAGCTCCAAAAGAGGGCTGGTCTGTGGGCCATCCGTCTGGATGTCCCTCTTGCTGTAGCCACTGG